AAGTAAGAAATAAGGTTTAACAATTATATAGGGATATTTAAGCAAAGATCAGGATTTTTGGAATTGGTGGCCAAAAAATGATCCCCATAAGAATAACATGGGAAAAACGTGTCTAAAGTGGGGTATCTTTCTGGGTTCGCCACTACTGTGTAGCACTAAAGACGTCTCTCACACAATAGTGTAACACTAAAGACGTCTCTTGCGCAATGGTGAAGCACTAAAGACGTCTCTTACACAATGGTGTAGCACTAAAGACGTCTCTCCCACAATAGTGTAACATTAAAGACGTCTCTTACACAATGGTGTAGCACTAAAGACGTCTCTCACACAATAGTGTAACATTAAAGACGTCTATTACACAATGGTGTAGTACTAAAGACGTCTCTCACACAATAGTGTAACATTAAAGACGTCTATTACGCAATGGTGTAGCACTAAAGACGTCTCTCACACAATAGTGTAACATTAAAGACGTCTATTACACAATGGTGTAGCACTAACGACGTCTCTCACACAATAGTGTAACATTAAAGACGTCTATTACGCAATGGTGAAGCACTAAAGACGTCTATTACACAATGGTGTAGTACTAAAGACGTCTCTCCCACAATAGTGTAACATTAAAGACGTCTATTACGCAATGGTGTAGCACTAAAGACGTCTCTCACACAATAGTGTAACATTAAAGACGTCTATTACACAATGGTGTAGCACTAACGACGTCTCTCACACAATAGTGTAACATTAAAGACGTCGATTACGCAATGGTGAAGCACTAAAGACGTCTATTACACAATGGTGTAGTACTAAAGACGTCTCTCCCACAATAGTGTAACATTAAAGACGTCTATTACACAATGGTGTAGCACTAACGACGTCTCTCACACAATAGTGTAACATTAAAGACATCTATTACGCAATGGTGAAGCACTAAAGACGTCTATTACACAATGGTGTAGTACTAAAGACGTCTCTCCCACAATAGTGTAACATTAAAGACGTCTATTACGCAATGGTGTAGCACTAAAGACGTCTCTCACACAATAGTGTAACATTAAAGACGTCTATTACACAATGGTGTAGCACTAACGACGTCTCTCACACAATAGTGTAACATTAAAGACGTCTATTACGCAATGGTGAAGCACTAAAGACGTCTATTACACAATGGTGTAGTACTTAAGACGTCTCTCCCACAATAGTGTAACATTAAAGACGTCTATTACGCAATGGTGTAGCACTAAAGACGTCTCTCACACAATAGTGTAACATTAAAGACGTCTATTACACAATGGTGTAGCACTAACGACGTCTCTCACACAATAGTGTAACATTAAAGACGTCTATTACACAATGGTGTAGCACTAAAGACGTCTCTCACACAATAGTGTAACATTAAAGACGTCTATTACGCAATGGTGTAGCACTAAAGACGTCTCTCACACAATAGTGTAACATTAAAGACGTCTATTACGCAATGGTGCACCATTAAAGACGTTCATAATATGTCTACTACGTTCATAATATGTCAGATAGTAAAATCAGAGGTTTATTTTTTACCATACAAATAAAGGTACAATAAATAGATTTGTGTTATTTATCAATAATTATTTTGTAAAAATGTGAGTGTGTTAGTAATTTTAATTTTTAAATCAAGTGGATTAACAACAAATTTGTATATGAATAATTTGGGTCTCTACAATAACTTGGTAAGTTTATGGGAGGGTGACGGGAGAGGGGGATAGGTTAGTTGCGCATTTGCTACCTACACTACTCCGGGTCCCGTAGGCTGGGTTATAATCCGGTAGGTTAGTTGCGCATTGACGGCTTTAACAATAGATCTCTTGAAATTATAAAGAGTAATGAAGCGTACGAAAAGGCCAATCAACTGAAATAATCCATAAAAAGATGCTACTCCCGAATTAGTTAAAAGTTAAAGTAGCATGTTCCAGTTGTAGCAATGTCTCTAGTTTTTTTACCAAAGCTGATAGCCTACAGATATTTTTTCACCGATCCTAGCCAGTAAAAAATTATGAATACAGTATGTACCATCATAGATAAAGCATACTCCCCTTAACTTGTGTTGCTTAGTCTATGGTACCATTTACCCATGTATAGCCAGCACCCTGTCACGTGAAGCCGCAATCTTCAAACTAAAAAAGTCTCACTACTCTAGCTGTGAGAGTGTCAAGTACGTGTTACAAAATGCTAAATACTCAGATAGTAAGCTAAAAACTGTCATATGAAAAAATTTAAACTTTGTCAGCATCTTATAACAAATTAAAAATATAAAACAAACCTAGCGCGCCTGTTGTTTGTAATCGAGCAATTGTCTAGTACCGGTATTACAGAAGTTACATTAAAACTAATAGTCACAATTTTCTTTGAGTTTAAAAGACCCAACTAAAAGCGTATGCAACTAATGGAAATACTCACGCTGTTAATAACAGTTATAATAAACCCGCCTTGTAAATATTTTATCATATTTCAGGAGCTGGCCTTGTTTTTAGTGTTTTCGAAAAAATATTCCCGTCTTACCCGATAGCCGCATGCTGCCGATCATGCTGGTTTGTGAACTCATTGAAGTTTATTCTGCCATATATATTCAAGACGAATTTCATCAAAATCGTACAAAAATCACTCAAATTATCGTGTTTATGGACTATATATTTCTAGTATATATATATATATATATATGTGTGTGTGTGTGTGTGTGTTTATATACACGTTTTTATATTTGTACGAATAGTATTTTGGCCTCTACTCTAGCTCTAGGACATTAAAATGAAAATTTATATCGGGACTGGCTCTAGTCTTACCGTACCACCTACGGTAATAGATACTTCCCTATAGTGAAATTCGCCAAAAATATATAAATATATAATTAAATGGCATCAATACAGCAACATAAATTAATGAAGATTTACAAATCATCGAGGGTTCTGTATATTTTTATTAATATCATGGTTTGCAATACTGATTGTTGTACTAATAAGTCATTAAATCAAATAGTCGGCTGGTTTTCATAGGTTAAATACACGTACATGTAGGTAAATAATGAAAACTCACCTTGCCCATCGATTTTGGAAGCTTCAGATGCGTTCGTAAACGTGCTTTCCTCATGGAGTTTTTAATGTAGGAAATATCAGCCTGCGTCAGAGTATTTAAGGCCACCTTGTTGTTCTTAATTTCGCCATTTATACGTTTTGCTGGCCGTTCCTCGATGCGCAACTAAACTACCTACTTAAGGTCGATTCACACACATCAGTTACGGCACGTCACAGTAAAGTCACTTCAGACACGTCACAGTTAACAAAAATATTCTATAATGGTTTTTCTATTGCGCTATCTACACCCATCCGTTGCAGTCCCGTCAGTCTCTCTGCCGGCATCCGTCAGTCAATTTAAGATTTCTTTTCACCGATATTTTTTTATTGTTCGGACGCCAGACGGAACTGTTTGATGTTAGAAAATAGTGTTATTGTTATTTAAATGGTTGCGTTTGTATTTTGAGTACTGTTTGTAACTATCAACAAGATGGACAATGATAATTTAATATAATATAGGTATATAATTTAAAATTTTTAACTGTAAATTACTGTAATTATTAGAGACGGAAGACTGACTGAAACCAACTGACGGACAATTGAATGTGAAATTGCGGATGCAACTGTGACTGGACTGTAACTGGACTGCAACTGGACTGTAACGGAACTGTGACTGGACTGATGTGTGTGAATCGACCTTAAAGGGGAACACCAGATCCCAATGCGGAACTAACCTCCCCATTATTATGGCCCTAGGGTCATTAGATGCGCAACTAACCTACCACCACGGGAGTGTTGGGAGGCACAATGAGAACACTAGCGGACTGATGTTGACCACAGGGAATATCACCACGATTTCTCTACTTGTCCGTACAAGTTGGTGTGACATGGGAATGGTTAGATCTTCACCTCATATACTAAAGGTGTTTTAAACTCCAAATAATTTAAAGCATATAAACAAAATAATATCTTTATTTTAATTTTATGATTCCTCTTTTATAGCTGTTCAGATCCAAACCATGTTTTTTACTTAATCAACAGGCGGGAGATATATACTAAGGTAAATGCTCTAGTTTTCAGTTCATGTATATTATCAACTTGCTACAAATTGGACCTTTTCAAATTAGATAAAGCTATCTGTTTGATTCTGTGAATAAATTGTATGAAAAGCAATACATTAGTTTTGGTATCGTCTACCTTTAAATTTTAAGTACATTTGATTTAGAGTAAAAATATGAAAAACTTAACTCAAAGCCATTTAGTTTTAGGAAATAACATTTTTTAAATGTTATTAATATTTTGTGAAAATTCTACTAAGTGTAATTAATACCCAGTGAGTGATGTTGCTTTTTAGTACTTGATTCAATTTTTTATTCTCAAAATAGCTTATCCCTGGGATGAGAGAGTTAGGTACACGAGGAGAGGAGATGTCTGTTATGATAAAAATAAGTATAGCTACAGCAAATCAGGTCACGTAATATTAAAAATAGTTATCTTGATTTAAGATTTAAGACGATTTAAGACAAAGGAGATGCAATAAGCCCAGTACTGCCCAAGGGAATTGCGAAATGAACAGAAACGTTTTCAAATCTTAAAAGTAGAATCCTGTCGTTGGCTACATCCTTTGCAATATTTGGTTTTTACGTTACAATTTATCTACACATAAAGCAGTAATATTCTCGATAGATTGTGAGAGTACACACTTAGAATTTTGTAATAAAATGTTATGAAAGCTTAAGATAAAATGTTATCAAATTTTCTGAATCGAATGTAGAAAAGTCTTCTAAAGGAATCATGAATGAAATATCACTAAAACGTACATTAGGTGACCTGTAAACAAGATAATAAAATCTTGATTGGTGAATGGTGAGGGTTTTCGGTGATATTCTTTGGCAAGGGTTTATATGGAAGGGGTTTGGTTAGTAGAGTAGAATCAATAAAGATTTCACCTACCTGGTACAGAGTTATCCACACTAAAGCACAAGACACATCCGCCAATATAAATGGTTATCGGTGAAAATTGATAGTTTCTCGATTTTCATAAAACAAAAAAATACTTGATCTACTCTAAATTCTAAAGTGGCGACTAGAATCTATCGACTGCCAACACAGATCCGTGCACTTCGCGCAGTGTTGTTGTCCCGGGACGGGGAAATGAAAGACCCTCCTTCTCCCTGCGAGCTACCCACGACTACTTTCATGTTGTTCGATAATTGATCTATATGTATTCTGCATGACAATCCGAACATTATTATAACCAAATATAAAACATCGCTTTGATAAAAAATGAAACTATGATATTTAATTTTTTTTTTAATAAGTGAAATAAGTTTTAAGTAATCAATTTATGATTCGATCAATTAGAGGACTGAAATTAGCACTGAAGAAGTTAAGTATCAAAATAACAATTATTGAGATATTGCAAAAACATTAGCCAAGAACATTAAATAAACAAAACTTATTGAAACTAACTAAACTTTTGAAGGTATAAATAGTCTATTTATCTAGAACTAATAGTCCGGTTGTTATTGAACGAACTACATCCGAGTTAAAACATGCAACAAATTTCAATTTCCTATTAACAGTTTATCCGTCAATTTAATCAAGATTTTTATTTTGCAAATATGTTCTTTGCATATCATGTTTGAAGGTTAACGCCTAAAACTAGCATACAACATACACTCCTTGACCCACCTACTGGCCCCTCAAAGTTAGGATTGTAAATATTTCCTCAAATTGAATGGGATGTTTGAATTAAATTAAAATATTAATACCTAGAACTTTTGAGTTCCCCTTCATGCCAAAGACACTACCCTAATCACCTTCAATACTCCATTACTCTTAAATAAAATAACAAACCTTAATTTCAGTATTCAGTATTTTAACGTGCATAACACAACGTGCATATTTTAATGCCCTACACATTTATAACAAGAATTTGCTCGTTATCACTTAGAGCATTTTCTACCGAGTTAAAACCTTTACATAATTTGTAGCAACTTTAACTTGTAGCAAGCACATCTGGTTCTGAGTGATGTTTTATCGCGAAATAATACTCTCTCAGATTTCATCATGGAAAGGAGTATGTATCACACCTCTATCACTTAAGGGAAACCATTACAGGAAATACTAATAAATACCAAATAAGGTAATGACATCCATGGGATTACCTTACGATAATCGTTTTAAAGAACTGTTATCGAAAAATAATTTGATTTTCTGATCAATTGTATTGCAAAGAGGGGATGAGATCTATTCCCAGACTACTTTTGAAAAAAAAAACCTTTACCTAGATCGATAGCTATCATAAGTTAAGATTTACTGACGTGGAATAAACTTGAGTCAACTTTGTTTTCTAAACTGACTTTTAGATTGTAAGAATTGTACTTTACATGGAGAAACTTTACACAATTGCAGTGTCTTGATTAAACAGATGTGACGGCCACGATCGTTAGGCAAGCGAGGCATATGTTTTTGTTTGTTATTCACTACCGAATATCCATCCGATTTGGTTATCACTCGTTGGCCGAGTTCTATAGTCGGTAGCAAACCATTCCAGAACAAACTATTCTGAAATATTTTGAAAATTTTCACACTGGACGTATTACGTATACCTGAACGTATACCTTAACCAAATTAACTATCCTCGTGGCTATTCGGCTGTGTGTGTACTAGAGGGTGACATTGCAGTTGAGGGGAAGACAAATTTCCCTGCGTAGCTACCGGGTGTTATATGGTAGTGGGTGGTTGAGTGGGGGAAGGTGGAAGTGGGTGGGAGAGTTAGACCTGGGTCTTTGCATCGACCATATCAGCACGGAGCTCAGCCCCACATTTAGCTTCACGGTCGCATCTATGCGTATAAAACGTGCTATTTTCTTTACGGATCTTCCTTAGGAAATAAGCTATAACCGTATGTCTCATGGTAAGACCCAGGAGCAATTTATTTGCTTCGTTCTGATGTCTCCATAGAAGCCAAAAACACACCGAAAATTAATTGGCAGGGATGGTGTTTTTGGCTTGGTCGGGTAAAATATTAAGGTTGAAGCTTTTTAATGTTGAGCGACCAAAACCAATTGCTTGGTCATCTGACTCAGATGTCATCAGTGGCACGGACTCCGATCCAGATTTTGACATAAAAATGAACAAAAAAGGAATAAACGAAGTTTCCTTTTTAACTTTAAAAGAAAAAAAATCAGATCCACAATGCATCAAAACAAAGACTATCATATATCAAGCCTCTTGTTCGTCATCGAGAGATGACAATTTCTTACCTAAAGCCTGCACAGAAAACTGTTCTGTTGCTCAACAAACCAATGTCCCTAATGTTAGTTATGATAAAGCCGTTGATATTGAAGTACAGACTTCCTGGTAAAACTTGAAAACATAAAGCCCAACCTTCAAAGTAGAGAAAAGGTGAGGCAAAAGTGTTACGTAATTCTATATAGCAATAGGTATAATCATCCAAAAGCAAAAAGAAATTCTACCTAAATGTGTCAAACCTCCTTGTAGTGAGAGTTGTAGATTAAAATGCTTCGACTATATACCAAGACCAGAGAACTAAAATATCTTCACAGTTTTGGTCACTTGGACGTGATGTCAATCACGTGATATTGACGTGATGACGTGATGACGTTGTAATCACGTGATGTCAACGTGAATTGGTTTCTCGAACGATAACAAGCATAAAACCAAAGTACAGATACGCTAATTTCTATTTGCCTGATTGGATTATTACTAAAATATTTCCTTCAAAATGTCAGAGTTATTCACGATAAAAAGGTATCTAGGTTTGCTGCTATTATAATGCTAATAAAGTGTGTTTCTAGTGAAATGTTAATTGATTAGAAAAGAAAATTCGAAATATTGTCAAAATACATCCCTAAAATTTAAATACATTGAAATATTTGGCAACTCTCTTGATAGTTAAAAAGAAGTACAACATCCCATCGAAGAATGAACAAGATGTGTAACGCCAAGGACTCATTCATCCAAGTGTTGATGCTGTAAATGTGCAACATAGGTGCCCAAGTAAAAAAGATGAGGTTGTTCACAAAGGGCCAAAAACACCTTCATTCTCATATCACGTAATTGATGGGGCAACACGTAAAGAGGTGTGTTTCAAAGCCTTTATTTCTGTTTTTTTCTTTCTCTAAGTAAGAAAAGAATCCGAAGGATACGTAATCTTAAACACCCAGGATAAACCCTTGAGGACAAAAGAGGTAAAAGTAAAAGCATCAGCCAAAATTTGTCTACCAAAGCTCACTATGCTGTACGTGAGCATATTAAAACGTGTCCTTTGAAATAGTCCCAATATTGTGGCAAAAAATATATTACTTGCATACAGATCTTACACGAAGAAACTTTGGAAACTGTTTAAGGATGGACATTCTCAGTTTAAAGAAAGCCAGACCCCCTATTAAAGAATATTTCGGAAAAATTGCAACTATAACTTTGGGCATCCTCAAGTTGATGCGTGCTTGTGTGAGGAACTAGGAGTGAAAATCAAATCTCATCTTAACGAGGTAGTGAAGAGAACAGCCGTGGCTAAACTCCTTGTACATAAAGAAGAGCCAAGACTGTCTAATTTATTCAGTTTTACAGCATGATAATTCAAAAGATGGCGAAAAAGAGACCCATGTGTTCTCTTTCATTTACTTTGTGGTTACATCATTCATAACGTTTAAGTTAGCCATACGAATGAAACTCTTAACACAATGAATCAAGACATCGACAGCATTTTTCACTGGGCAGCAAAAACCTAATAACTTTTTAATGCTTTTTAATATCATAGAACCAACGTGTGTAGTTGAAACAGGTCAAAAAAATTTTTTTATTCCTTTTAAATAATAATACTCATAAGGAGTAACATGGGGAGCTCCAGAGCCACTGGAGCGGAGCCCGAAAGGATTTTTGAGATAAAAATGCGTCTATATGTTAATCGGGAATGTGAGCTATCATCACACCACATTTCAGACCAATCCGACCAGTGTTTTTCGCGTTTACTTGTCACAAACATCCATCCATCCATACATCCAAACTTTCTCATTTACAATATTATAACTTTTATAAAAATACAAAATAAAGTTGTAGTGTAAACTAAACACCCTGTAAACAAATGTAACGAACGTACGTTATTACATTCAAACAAATACGTTAGGCCGTTTAAAAATAGCCTAGGCCATTTACCACAATTTAGTGAATAAAAAAGTTCAATCCAGTGGCGGATCCAGCCAGGGGTCCTTGGCAAAAAATTTTCAACTATCGGGTAATATTATACAACATATTTTGGTTTTTTTTACAGCCTATGAAACCACAACCGACATTAATAAAGGCTTATCCCTTAACAATTCAATAAATTTTCTTTGATATGGCAAAATATTCAATCATGATTCGTGCTGTAGTTTTTCCTGACTAGGCCGCGTAAATTGTCTTCTTAGAGTTTACGACAAAAATGACAGCGAATCTGAAATTGAGACAAAATTCGAGTCCATCAGATATACAAATAACCAGACACACCATAATCCGACGCAATGTGGAAACAAAAATACAATTTTTTCATAAAGTTTATAGTACACAATTACAAGTAGGCCTGTATTCAAATTTTAAAATTGTAACGCCTTATTACGTGATATTTAATGCAGTAATTTTATTTCATAGAATACTTTTATATTTTCCCTAATATACAGGGTGATTGATATAAGTGTGCCTGCTGTTTTATTCGAAAGTTATAAGAAATATCAAAAAATGTTAAATTGTAACTGACTTGGATATTTTTTTTTAAGGTTTGGTCAAGTTAAAAAGATAATTTTAGCCACATTTTTCCAATATGGCCGCCAACTTGATTTTACTTACGGAAGACCCTATATCCTTTATGAGTTTGCTAAGAAAGTAAATGTAATTTAAACACGTTTTTATTCATGTAATTTTTTCTCTAAAGCTACTCATGTAGGAGTTACAGCATGTTAAAACTAAGAACTTTTTTTTGCGTTATACATTCTGCGTCATGTAGCTCATAACCGAGTAAGTTTAGAGAGGAAATGCCAAGAGTAAAGTATAAGCCTTAA